TAATGCGTATTTTGATTCATTGTTTATTTGAGGCGCAATAACAATGGATGTGAAACGTCAACTCATCTTAAATTTGCACAAACGTGGTTTTCGAAACATTGATATTTTCCGACAGCTACAAAACGAACAGGTTTGCATGACATTTATTGAACGTACTATCAAACGATACAACGAACGTGGAACTGTCGACATACAAAAGAAACCCGGTAGAAAAAGATCCGTTCGTACAAAAGCACTCATCAAACAAGTCAAAGCCAAAATTCGCCGAAATCGCCAAAGAAGTGCCAGAAAGCTGGCTCAAGATCACCGGCTAATAGTCTTCGATGCGACGTGGTTTAAAAGAAGACTTAAACACGACACCTTTCAAAAAAAGCCGTCGACATGGTCTTACGATCAAAAATATGCAAGCCAGAAAACAAAAATGCAAAGAACTGTTGCGCCGGAACGCCAATTCAAATATCGTTTTTTCGGATGAAAAGTATTTCTTGCTACAGCCAAGTCTCAATGCACAAAATGATCGTGTGTACGCAGTGTCTGCAATAGACATTCCTGAATACGAAAAGACCGTTGAACGTTTTCAGAATTGGATTTTTTTGCTTGGGGCTACATGACATCGAAGCTCAATAAGTCTAAAGATTACGAAGCTTACCAATTTGAACACATTCAAAAAGAAAATCGTAAAGATTTGAAACGATATTCCCATGAATGAAATGCGTGCCGCGTGCGACTTGTTTTCAACACGTCTGAAGCTGGTAATCAAACAAAACGGTGCAAGAATCAAATCCAAAGGCTAAATCTAAAATCTTATGTTAAATCCTACTAGAAAAATATATATATATTTCATTTTATTCAAAAATGTGTTTTTTAGAGCCAAAAATACACCCTCCAGTTATTCTGGCCCACCCTGTAAGAAGATTTAACTGATACAAGAAGAAAAAAAAGGTTTTTTCTGTTTTTCTCGAGATTTTCTGAATAATTTCCAAAAAACACTCGATTTCGAATTTCGACTATGATGCGTTCACTTGGATGAAATTAACATCAAAAATAGAGTAAAATAGAGAGCGTAACTGATTTCGAGGGGCAGATGCTCTACTGACACCACAAGTGCGAGTAACCGTACTCGAATATTTGTTTCTGTGTGATTATTCCATGTTGCATTGTTTCTAAATTTGTTTCAATTTTTTTATTTTCGTTTATTTGTATCAGTTTTTCAAGAATAAAAAGAAAAAGAGTTAACAACGATTCACCGGTATACGATGACGAAAGAGAAGAAGAAAATTTGGTTGCAATAAAATGTGGCTTGCAAACAATACTTAGACCCGAGCATGCAGCAGTTGTGACGCAAATATTGTTTGAGCACAGTCTTCAAATGACGGAAGTTGCCTCATTGGCCTCACTTTTGATTTCACTCAAGGAATGAAGATCGTCAGTTCTTTTTGTGATAGGATCGTCGAAAGTTCTTCTTCGAATGCTTCAATGCGGTATTGGCCAATAATAATACTGATAATCCCATACCGCCAGAGTTTCGGTTCATGGTCGAAAACTTCAGTGACGAACAGTTCGAATGGCCAAGCATTTGTGCATAAATTTGAAGTAAAAACTATATTGAAATTTGGTTTTCTCTATTTTTCGTTAGACAGATAACCGATATGAACTGCGAATGGATGTGTCAGTTTGAATGTTCAAATATGATCTAATGTTTTATATTTGACAAGAGTCAACTTCATGCCAATCGCACAAAATACGAGTATTATTTGACATTTCAATAGACACATTGTCAACAGTCAAACAAATATCTGAAATATAAGCGTTTTAAAAGAATTTTATAAAAAAAAATCAAAAGCAATAAACCCGAATAAATAATATCCCGAATTGAATAAGGTTTGTTGGATTAGGGTGGCCCAAAAAAAAAGTTTTTAATTTTTAACATTGTTTTTAGCATATTTGGGGCCTAAAAACACCATATGGACCATTGGTTTGTTCAAGTAGGAAACCATGGCGCTACAAATTCATTGGGAAGATACGTTGATGGACCCATTTTGGTGTATTTTGAACGATTTCTATTTCCAAAAAAACTTATGAAAAAAATACGTATTGGAGGGTTTTTTAGTGCGAGAAAATTGAATCTGGAGTTATTTTTGCGATACGATCGATGGTTAACACATTTTTCATACAAAAATGTGAAAAAATCACCAAAAATATGAACTTTTGTATGGGAGCTAAGCCTGTATGACATCGTAATGAAGTGAAACTTTGCAGAGGCTATTATTTTCACAACAAAATAACATTCTGAGAATTTGAAGACATTTGAGCAAAAAACAAGGGTTCTTCCCATACAATTTTTTTCAAAAAACGAAAATTTCGCAAGGGGAGTGTACCTAGTTTTGATTCAAATTTGTTCAAACTAACCGGGGATTGCGTTGACATATTTATATGTAAACGTCAGTGGCATCTAAACCGAAAACGCCATCTTCGGTTACACACCAGTAGCTTTTTCTGTGACAAAATTTTCACTTTAATTTAAAATAAAATAAAAGAATTCAATTTTAATCCCACATTTTTTGGAATAAATCCTCATTTAAATTATTGAAACAATTTTTAAAATCATTTGTTGAAACAAAATTCATTTTACTATTAATTGCCATCGATTTGAAGCAGAGGTGCGCACTGGGGGGGGATTCAGGGTTTTACCCCCCACCTAGCTTGGTCACGTCCGGATTTCCGGGTCTAACTTTACCCCCCTCAAAATTTCATCACGTCCGGATTTCCCTCCCCCAATGATTCAAGTACATTTTCTAAATACACATTTTTCTGTATATTCATTACAAAATTGCTTTGTTTTTTTCATTTTCTGGCTAGTTTTGTAAAAAACTATCATTTTTTGAGATAATCGAAAGTACGTCATATTATTGAAACTCATTCATTATCATTTTCGTTCTCAGTCAAATCGAAAGTCAATCTTAATACAAGCGGTTTCAGGTTTTCGGAAGAAAATCCGGATTGACCCCCCCCCAAGAATTGTTTATTTTCTTGACCCCCCCCTTCCAAAAATCCGAAATTTGACAGCTATCCCCCCCCAAAAAAAAAAATGCGTGCGCACCTCTGATTTGAAGGAGCGAAATTGACAGTACACTGTAGAGATTAAAGAAACAATACATACACAAGCATCACATGTACGCTTAAAGTGGCCATCACAGAAACGAAGCTGAGTATGCGCACATGTATAAGTATTTTCATACACAGCATGTTACGTTCCTCTGTTATAAAGTGTGATGATAGTCTCGTTTTCATACAGGTATATCTCCCATACAAAATCCAGTGAAATCCAGTGAAAAGTGTATCAAAAATTTAATGTATCATGAAACTCTACACTCTATTGATGATGCTGCTCCAATCAATCATTCATTCGGCCACACACATAAAAAAGCAGAATGCTTTCAAAATTATAAAAATTTTATACCTTTTCCTCGTGCACCAAACCACAAAACACAACCCAAACTCTCATCTAAAACAGTTCTCAGTGGAAACACCAAATGACGAATTCTAGTCTTCAATGCGTCACTCAATTCGTTTCGACTGACGTTAACTTCAACTAAATTCCATTTTCTTCAATTAAATAAAAAAAAAATAATTAATGAAAAAATCAAACCTTTGTTTCTATATTTAAAAACTTAACCTTTCAGGGTTTATTTGTTTTAATTCATCCACAGCATTTTTTGCCGACACTCGATCAGGAGTATTAAATCGAGTATTATAATCTATTTCATTTTTCACTCCTGACCGATTTATTTTTTCGAATGAAACATTAATTAAATCAATTTCTTGGCTAGGGTTCAGAACTTTATCCATTAATACGGCCAATATTGTACAATCAATGCCTGAAAATTATTTTCAAATTATTAATAGAGAAAAGATTCAAAAATTATTAAATTATTATTTTCATTATTAGTTACCCCCTGAAAATAAAATTCCAATCCTGGCGTGGCAGCAACTTGAAAAATCAATATCCTTGGCTTGTAAACATTCCTTACAAACGTATGGAGTGTTTATTGTTCGATCTAATAGTGATTTTTCTAGCCGCAATATAACCTCATCACACACAGAAACGACATTATTATTTTTCAGAAGTTGTTCAAAAATATCGACATATGACTTCCCTTGAATTTCATATGAATCCAGTATACTTTGAAAATTATAAAAATACGATATATTATCCAACTCCAGCCATATTGAGCCAATGGATGGTCTCAATTCTATTGTTGTATTCAAAAAGTCTTGTAGTTCATTTGTTTGCGTGAAATTTTCTTCATTCAAAGGCTGCCATGGATTAAGCTGTATTATGATATCTTCTTTCATCAAATCAATGCAGAATACACCAAGTGGATTCAATTCTATACATTTCGTGTAATGCTGTTCTAAAGATGCTCCTAAAAATACAAAACAAACTTCAAACCCATAAACAGAACACATATCGCACGCCGAACCACCTTACCCAGAACACTTGATAAAATTATATTATGACTGTTTGTTTTTGCCAATAAAAATGACTGCCTACCAAAAAACAAATAAATAAACAAAAAGTGTCCAATCCAGAGGACTATAAGTGTGCAATCGAATGAAAATGGGCTATAACCATGTGTTTACCTGCCAAAAATGTCACGCAAGAAATATAATTTTTTCACATTCAGATTATAATAAATAATACTAAAAGGTCCTTTCAGTCTTCGAAATAAATCAAGAAGCTCGGATTCATCTTTACCTAATTTTGCACCATCATAATATTAGTAGTAATAGTAATAGAAAACATATGTATGATATACATTTATCGATTTGTAAAGTCAGCCATTCAGTATCACTTATTGCTAAATCTTCACGTTTTGTGAAGATGTCGCCATTAATCAATATAATATGATTTTTGTATGAATGAGGTTGTGGGCATAGTTTGTTGGCACCTTAAATATTTGTTTTAGAATATAATCGTTTGTTCCATGTAAATTCAAGCTGAGCACATATTTGTTACCTTGTTGCCATAGAACAAATCCAGAGAAAAGAATTTCATAATGATCGATTTTTAAGGTTATTTCTGCATTCTGGTTTGGTCCTCGATTCTCAAGCAATTGTTTGGTAAGCTCATTTATCTATAGTATATTATAAATTCCATGTAAATAATTATAAATTACAAATACAAAGAACAAAGAACCTCAATTGAAGATGTTGTGTATTCATCTTTTTTTTTCTGTTGCAGGCAACAATAAATTCCACACATTTTTGTTATATCACATATAATTACTGGAGAGAGAGTAATATACACGGAAAATATACAAACACACATACACACACGGAAAAATGACTCATTTGATTTAGAAACATAGCAAATGACATATTTGCAACAGCTGTCAGTTTAAAATGAAACTGATAAAAACAACTAAATAAAAAGAAGACGATCTTTGTGTTGAACTAGTATGAAGTTGTATTGTGTGTGTTGTTTTTTTACAATTATTTACCCGGGTGGCTCCACTTAAAAGATTTTTTTTATTTGAACATTTTTCTAGTTGAACAGATAAGCCTGACTGAATGTGGTAGCAAATATTAGTAGTGACAGATCTATTACGTATAGCATAATGGCGAAGAGTTCGTTTATTGCACATTTCTTTCCATTGATATGAAGGCAACCATAATCATTCAATAATAATTTGATAATCTCTTGCCAAATTCAAAGCCAAATTGTTATATAGAATTTTCTTGAAAATTGAATTAAATTTTCCAGATTTATTAATTCTGAAAAGTTATTAAACGGTTTTTTATCGACTTGCGGCAACTTTTCGAACTAACAATCAAAACAACACAAACAGAATGAATACGTAGTTGTATTGAATACGTCTGTTTATTTCATTTGTATTGTTATATTATTTTGTCAAAGATAGTGATTCAGTAATTTAGCAAAGTCAAGAGAATAAAGACGTAGAAAACAAAACATGAAGATTATATTCATAGCCGTTTGTGGCTTGCTATTTTTGGGTAAGTTGTCGAATTATCTAAACAAATTTATTTCAATTTAAATAATTTATTATCATTTTCAAAAGATTTTTTGCCATTTTTATTGCATTCAAATATTTTATGGCAAAACTAATTATGAAACCATTTGGTCGTAATTTTGTTAAAGATATTCGGTGCATATTACAATACAATAATTTAAGAAATATATTCCAGGATAAAAATTTGCACAAATAATTTCAAAAGTGCAAATGATGACTCGTTTAATTTCTTTAATATTAATATTATCGTTATTTATAGGGGCTGATGCATCATCATACTTAACATCCGATTCGGCTTTTCAATTGAAACCAGAATGTGCTAAGGGTCCCGTACATTGGTGCCAAAATCTGGTGTAAGTTATTTACATTTTTTTTCTCGGTACTTCATAATTGTATCCATTTTGAATACAAAATACATCAATTGCCTGCATCTCCTTTTCCATGTATCAGGCTGATCGAAAATGACGTGACTTTTTGAATGAAAGGTGTCACTTTTTCCAAACTGATATTATTTTTGAGATTTTTTTTTGTTTTTCGAGAAAAGGCAGAGGCTGGTCTCTATTTCAAGCTCTGTAACTTTTGAGTCCTTGGACGGATTTGGTTCAAATTTGTGATTTAGAGGTTTGAAGGATGGTCTTCTCAAAAATAATATCAGTTTGGAAAAAGTGACACCTTTCATTCAAAAAGTCACGTCATTTTCGATCAGCCTAGTATATCATTTTTTTTTATTTGAGTTTATTGTGTGCGTTTGTCTGTTACACACATTTCTGTTTGTTGCTTGCCTTAATGTGATTAGTATTTTACTGAAGTGATTCATTTCGATATTTTAACAAAAGTAATTACAACATCAACGAATGAACATTCTCCGTTGAATCGCAAAAACAAAGTAATCTAACAATGAACCAGCTTTATCGTTGGAATTTTCTTTATGTTCTTTCAGAACATATAAAATAAGATTATAGCTCACTATTTTTTTTTCGCTGTATTAATCTAACTTAAAAAAAAAAATAATTATTTATTTCCTTGCCCGTATGAAAAAAAAGGTTATAACTGGCGATTCGATTTGTAGCCAGCCCAATAATAAACACAATTATTTCATGTCGTTTTTGTCACTTAATCAAAATTGAATTGGATACAATTCACAAAGAGATTGAGAAGCGTCGTTTGCATTTTGATGATGTTTTCCTTTATCAACATCGAAACCGCTTAAAATATCCTGAATAGGACAAAATTTTCGTTTTGATTAGAATTAGAAGTGTGATTAAAAAAAGAATAACAGTAAATTGCGACTAATTTGAAAATACAAATCGATTTCAATTGTGAAATTGTTACAATGCCTGTCATTTCTTACGGTCGGTAGCCTCGCGATGATAGTCTAATTGCGATACTACTGCAATTTGCGTATATTGGTGTACTTTGAATTCATATATGACGATCGATGTCTTTAGACGTGCGCATGTACTTACATGTAAAAAAAAAATAATCTTTTTGCGACTAATTTAATGAGAACAGCTTCGTATTTATTAATCTTAAAACTAAAAAAACATTGTTCTGATTAAAAAAATATTTCGTTCAATCAATCAGCAGTATGAACAATTTACAAGAACTAGTTAAAAAAAACTCACACACGGCTGACTAATCAAAAAGTGTGATATGAACCATAATTGTGATATGACCTTTATGACTGTAAATTCATTTGATTCGTCCACAAATATCGCATGTGCATGCATAAAATTACTTTCATACTTTGCTCATGTCGCGATGTGAGTCACCCAATCAAACAATTAGAGTTATATGTTTATATGTTAATATCATAAAATTGTTATATGATATGCTTGATTTAATCCTTCCACAAAAAAATGACACGTTAATCTTTCATTTCAGAACCGCAAAATCGTGTGGCGCGGTGACACATTGCATTCAAACCGTTTGGGAAAAGCAAAAATATCCAGAAGATCATGATTCGATTTGTCAAATTTGCTTGGATATGGTGAAACAGGCACGCGACCAATTGCGCAGCAATGAAACTCAACAAGATCTAAAAGCGGTATTTGAGGGCACTTGTGAATTCATTCGAATTAAAAAAATTCGACAAGAATGCGACAAATTGGCTGATGATATGGTTCCCGAATTGGTCGAAGCATTGAGCTCACAAATGAATCCACAAGTTGTGTGTTCGGTGTCGGGTCTATGCAATAGTGCTGCGATCGATAAAGAGCTTGCCAAACATGCAAATGAATTGGTTGTAAATAAAAAATCGTCGGGTCTCACATGCAATCAATGCAATAAAATTTCAAGTATTATTTCAACAAAATTCGCCAATACGAATCGCGATCAAGTGTTGGAAAACATGTTATCGGTATGTGGTCAAATGTCGTCGCTAAGTGATGGATGTTCGGCTATTGTTTTATCGTATTTCAATGAAGTCTACGATCATCTTAAAGACAATTTGAATACAGAAAATATTTGTCATATGGCTGGCGTTTGTGTTGCACAATTTCATCAACACGAAGAGGATGATATTGAGGTGATTGAAGATTCACGAATTGGATTCATTGATCATGTAAGCGATGACGTTCCATGCGATCTCTGCAAACAACTCATTGTGCATTTGAGGTAAGCCATTTCATTTCTTTATTGTATTATGCATTTTTCAGCATTAACGGTAATATGATTTTTTTTTCATTTATTTTGTTATTTGGACACAGAGATTTACTGGTTGCCAATACTACGGAAGCCGAATTTAAGAATGTACTTGAAGGCATTTGTAAACAAACGAAATCATTCAAGTCAGAATGTTTGAGTTTGGCCGATCAATACTATGATTTGATTTATGCTAAATTGACAAAAGAATTGGATCCGGATGGTGCCTGTTTCATGATTGGCATCTGTCCAAAGGGTAAATTGACACAAGAGCCACAGCATTCGTATGAAGTCATGCCATTAATACCAAATGATCAATTACTTGTGAAGAAGAAAATTTTGGGCGAAAATGAACCGGTACTATCAGCACAAGAGATTCAAAGTTTCCAATTGCCGAAAGATGTTTTACTATTGAACGCTGAACAATTGGAAGGGCATGTCGTTCAAAAGAAGAACAATCAATTCTGTACAGCTTGCGAATATTTCTTGCATTTCGTTCAGGACGCATTAGCATCACCGGTTAACGAAGAAAATATTAAACAATCGGTCATGAATATGTGTCACAAAGTGAAATCAAACCTCCAATCCGAATGTGAACAATTTGTTAATATGTATGCCGATGCAATTATTTCTTTATTGATTCAAGAGATTGATCCATCCATCGTGTGTCCACGATTACTCACATGCGCACAAACCACATTAACGGCCAATGAAAAATGTCCACTTTGTCTATTCTTGATTCAAGATATCGAAGAACAATTGCAGCATAATAAATCAAAACAAAATATCGAGGATAAATTACACGCCTTATGCAATCGGCTATCCGATAATTTGAAAACCGAATGTGACGATTTTATAAACACTTATACCGCTGAACTTGTCGATAAATTGGCCAACGATTTTACACCACAACAAATTTGCTTGTATCTGAAATGTTGTTCACAAAGAGAAGAAATTCTTATCGAAAATATTGGAGATAGGGCTAGCTACAATGATTATTGTATGTAATTTAACTTGATCTTGCATTTCTTCATTAGGGCAAAAAAAAAAAACCAAACAATAATTAAATGTTCTCTTTCTTATCTTTTATTTACCGGTATTGTCATAGTCTCGAATACAGTTTATCAAATTGAACCAGAACAAGTGTCCGCACCCGAATGTCTTTTATGCGAAGAACTAGTGAAATCGGTGGAGAAGAAAATCGCAAAACAAAAATCACGGGTTTGTATTCGTTTTATTCAGTCCAAGTAAAAAATGTGGAGATAATGACGAATTTTTGTTTTGTTTTATTACACAAATTAGGACCACATTAAAAAAGTTCTCGAACAGGCATGCACAACTTTGCCCAAAACCAAATTAAAGAACAAATGTTTGGCAGCAATTGAGAAGGACAGTGATTTCATAATCGATTTGTTCCTTAAAGAAGTGACACCAAAAGAAGTGTGCTTGGCAATGGGATTCTGTATTGTACACTATGACAATAGCTACGACATTGTTCAATTGGTTCCATTGGTCGATGAGAAACCAAAACCAAAACCAAAACCAAACAAATACGTATGCCGTGTCTGCCAACTTATCGTTAAAGAGGTCGAAGAGCGGCTAAACAATAAAACCGCACAACACGATATTGAAAATTGTGTGAAACATGTGTGCGATGCACTCCCAAGTGCCGTTCAACCAGACTGCAAAAAGCTTATCGATGCATACGCTGACGAAATCATAAAACATTTTCCAAGCGAATCACCCGAAAAACTTTGCTCAAAGGCCTGCTTTTGCGAAGCTAATGAAAGCGACGAAGATTCATCAGAAAATATTGGTAAGCTATTTTTTTTTTTTTTTTCAAAACAAATCACCAGTAAATTCATTCAATGAAATTGTAAACTATTAAGACGATGAATTCTCTTCACCCGAATGTGTATTGTGCGAGCAATTGGTTAAAGAAGTCGAAAAGAAAGTGAAAAACGATAAATCACGGGTAAGTTTTATTTTTGAGAGAAAAAAATCAATCAAATTGTGAAAAAAAAAATCTGGTTGTCTTTATTTAGGAACATATCAAAGAGGTGTTAGAACAAGCATGTTCATCATTCCACAAGAAAGAATTGAAGGAAAAATGCATTGAAGTCGTGGACAAGAATGCCGATTACATTGTGAATGCAATAATGAAAGAAGTAACACCAAAAGAAATCTGCCATGGCCTTGCATTCTGTGAAACGAAGACAACAAACATTGATGCTAAAATTGAAAAAGTCTCCGATCAATTAATGGAAAAATACTCTGAAACGCCACAATGTGTTTTGTGTCAATTAATTGCAACAAAACTTGAAGCCGATTTGAAGAACAAAAAAACTGAAGAGGAGATTGAAAATGCAGTGCGTCGGGCTTGTCATGCATTGCCAAACAAATATGCGGTCAAATGCAATAAATTCATTCAAGATTATGCCGATCTAATAATAAGCATGGTATCGACAGTTCCACCAAAAGAACTGTGCGGAGAGCTAAATCTTTGCCTAAGCCATTTGAACAAGGACACAAGCCAACGTGATGTTTTGGAGTGTGGCATTTGTAATACAGCCGTCGATGGATTGGCCATTGTTCTAGAGAAAAATGGACCAAAAGAGAAGAAAATTGTTACGGAAACAACATGCCATTTGTTGCCGGCCAAGTATTATCAACAGGTATGTTAAGCAATTTTGTTCAATGCAATTTGTAAATGCAGTTTAATCATGAGATTGTTATTTCATTTATAGTGCAATGACTTCATGAATATCTATGGCATAAGCGTTAGCACATTAATCAAGAAATCGGTAAAACGTTCGGAGATTTGTGTGAAAATTGGAAAATGCTTCCAAAATGGTGACAACAGTATGTTTGTTGAAATCAATGGAGGTAAACTGTAATAATAATAATAACTGCACCGAACAGCGCTACTTCGCCTTGGTGGTTTATTGAAAATAATTTAATTAAATAAATATAATATAATACAATTTGATTTTTATCAAGCATTTTTGAGATAGTATATGAAAAATTATTGTTTCTTTCCTTTCATGTAAATAATAATACAAATTTCATAAATCAATTTTCCAACTGCTCAAAATGTCTACTTTCCATAACAAATATCTTTTAATTATCTGCTTTGCTTTAAATAATTCTCTATTCTCAGTTTTACTGTTGATAAATTTACTTCTAAATCAATTAAATTTTTATCACTGTTTTGCAATTTTTTGGTATAAAATTCGTTGAATGTTGTAAGCATATAATTTGTTGGCTCATATTTTGTGTAATCAGTTCTCCTAATTGGTAGATCAAATAGTGGTGTTGCTCTGGTATCATGTGCTGGATCGTAATATTTCATACTGTTTGAAACATAAGTTGACTTTAAATCTCCGTGAATAATTTTGAAAATAAAAGACACTTGCGCCATCTTGCGTCTCTCCTCAAGAGTAATCATTTGCAGAAATAGTAGCCTGTGTTCGTATTTTGGCAGTCTAAAATCGTTCCAGGCCATTCTCCTCAGTGCATACAATAAAAATTGCTTTTGTATTGACTCTATTCTTTTGCACATATTGTCGAAGTGTGGATTCCATATTTCAGATCCATATTCAATAATCGGTAATATAAATGTAAAGTAAAGGCGTTTTAAAGTCCATGTGTCGACAAAATCCCTGCTGTTGAATTTTAACCAAGCCAATCTTGATTTTGCCTTTGCAACAACATGCTCGATGTGTGATTAGAAATTCATCCTTACAATCAAGCAATACTCCCAAGTCCTTTATTACTTCAACTCTTTCAATTTGCACGCCATCTATGTTGTAATTATATTCATATTTCAGTGATCCACGATGATATGATATTATTTTTGTTTTGTTAACGTTCAACTTTAATAAATTGCGCCCATAGTAATTTGCTACACGATCTAAATCTCTTTGAAGATGAATGCAGTCATCTTCTGATTTTATACATTTTGAAATTTTGGTATCATCAGCGAATGAAAGGATGCATGATTTGGTCACGACGAAAGGTAGATCAATCACAAACATGATAAACAAAGTTGCGCCAACGGGATAACCTTGACCAGTACCAGAAGTTACTTCGATTGGGTCAGATTTGGTATCTCATATCTTTACTATTTGTCTACGACCAGACAAATACGATTGAATCCATTTTAATAGCTGTGTATTCAATCCCATGATGTTTAGCTTTTGAATTAGTAATTTTATATTCACAGAATCAAAAGCCTTTGCGATGTCCAAATATATGGTGTCTGTTTGATGTCCCTTTCCCATGTTGATTATCGTATTCGATGTAAATTCTGCCAAGTTCGTTATCGTTGACCTATTTTTGATGAACCCATGTTGAGATCCGTGAACCATGTTCTTTAGATATTGATTGAGATGATTCGTGACTATCGAATCTAGAATTTTTGACACTATACACTGAAGAGCGACACCACGGTAATTTTTAACGTTGTTTCTGTCACCGTTTTTGTAAACCGGTCTGACAAAAGACGTTCTCCAAATCTGTGGTACAGTGTATGTTTCAAGAGATTCTCTTAACAATGTTGTGATTGGCCCCCGCAATGAAACCAAACAATGCTTGATAAATTTATTTGGTATTTCATCGGGACCACTGACTAGATCATCCGGAAGCATGTCAATTTGTTGTCTAACAAGCTCCTCAGTTATTTCAATCGGTGATATTTCAGCACAAATGTTGCTAATATTTTCAAACTCCGAGCTATCCAATTGTAGATTTCCCTTCAAAGAGCTGTGGGCTGAAGCAAAATGCTTTGCAAAGGAACCAGCGATCGTAAACTGGTCTTCTGCCCTCATATCCAGATAAGACATTTCATGAGGCAGATCATCACTTTTCCCTTTTTTGTAATTCACATGTCTGAAAAATTTCTTTGGATCATTGTCTATCAGATTCTCCATCTCAATTCTGTAATCATTGAGTGCTGACCGTGCACTGCGTTTATATTCTCTTCTTAATTGTTTAAAATTTTCTACTGATTCAATTGTGTTGACCTTATTTTTAATCCGATGAGCTTTGCTGACTTTGTTTTTCAACTCGATTAGTGGCCTATTAAACCATATCGGTTGCTTCCTGATGATTTTTGTTTTTAACTGGACATGATTTTCGATTGTTGACTTTACAATTGTATAGAAATTGTTTAGTTTTATTTCTAATGAATTTGTATCGAATTCCTTAATCCAGTTAACATCAAGGAGTGACTCATTTATTTGTTTATAGTCAGCATTTATGTAATCTCTATATGTTTGCTTAGTTTCAACTGTTTTGATGACAGGCTCATTATATTTGATTTCGATTGCATTGTGGTGCTTCTCAAAATTCAATAAATGAAAGTCAATCGTTGTGCATTGATACAGCTCAACATCATTTGTCCAGATTAAATCAAGCATACGACCATTTTGGTTGTAGCATTTGTTTATCTGAAGAAGACCAAGATCATAACAAGTATCCAGCACTATCTTCTCTTTTTCACTGGCCGCATTGATAGCAATTGCTATGTCCGGGTCCTCATTATCGTCAACAAACCAAATCAATTTGGGCAAATTAAAATCACCGGAAACTACTAAAACATCATTTATACTTAACTTCGATGCTATTACTCTCAAGGCATTCATGTTGTTTTCATATACCTTGAGTGTTGAGTCTGGCCGAATATATAATTCTACCAAAATGATATTTCGTTTTAGTCCAGATACTTTTACCCAAATCTGTTCCGCACCGAACAGGTCACCCGTCCCAATGCAAACCGACTTCAGCTTGTTGTTAACAGCGATCAAAACTCCTCCTCCATTCTCCTTGCGATGAACTTGGTCCCTCTCAGTGTTTGGTGACCGATCACAACGATATACATCGTACATCTGCGGAAACAAGTCATTCGAATTGATGGCGTCATTCAGATGAGTCTCTCGCAGCATGTAAATTTGCGAATGGTGCACTAGAATTTCCGCCACAAACTCCGGAATTTTTGTTTTTAATCCATTTACATTTTGTGAATGGATAACCAGCTGTTTTGAATATTTTTCATCATTAAAATTGTGTGTAGTACTCATTTCTCCCTTTGGAGAACATATACAGTAATTATTTAAATTACCTGAGTGACCACTCTCCATTTCCATCGATGAAAAATTAACAGCTGAGTTTGTTGTGGCATCTAATAGTGGTTTCTGGATTGCCAGCGTTGAGCCGGCGGCCGAAGTCCCCTCCGAACACGTTGAAAATCCTTAAAACCATTCTCGAATTCAATAAAACAAGAGCGGCAATCACAATCATGAAAATGCGGACTAGCTCTCGGCAAAACATCTATAAAATGACGTTGGTTATTGAAATCGTCATTCCAATGGCATCGTCGACGGTCAGTTACCCAATTTTTTCTTTGAAATGAACGGCTGAATGGATAACTGTGTGTGTGTGTGTATGATCATTTCTCGGTTCCTGTCGATTTTGCTGACGATTTCTTTGTTGCTGCTGTTTTTGTTGTTGTTGCCTTTGTTGATGTTGTTGCTGTTGTTTTTTGGAAGATGTGTAGGTACTTGCATCTCTTTTTATATCGTTTGCACCAATATCAGCACCTGTACCTGCATCGCTCCCTTTTCCGTCACTTTGCTGTTGATTTTGTTCTTGTTGTTGCTGTTTTCTTATCTTCTTTTTTTTATTTTTCATTGCGCGACGACCCTTAGTCTGACACATTGAATCGACCAATTTTTTGTTTTTTGTGTCTACATTTGTTTTAGGCTCTGGTTGACATTTGTTGAAATCAGCAAGCAATTGTTTTTTCAGATCTTCAAATTTATTGGTCACGATTTGTTCGATGTTTGTTTTTTTTTTCGTTGTCAAATTGCCTCCGAGACCAGCATGTAACAAATGTAACTGCGAAAGGCGATTCAGCACTGAAGAGTTTTTTGAATTCATCTTCAACACGTTTGTCGCTAACATATGAAAATGATTTTTTAGCTGGATCTGTCAATTGTAGAAGTCATAATTTTATCAAGAAACTCCTCACAACATCATCCCACAATCTCATGCATGCCACATACATCTTTTTTTCACAAATCATGCAGTTCAAATGCAGACCAGAATAGCGTAATCCGTCGCAACCATTTTCAACACAGCAATGCAATTTACTCATGTTGTTCCGTCAATTACACTAACAACAATGATGAGACACTTTTTCGTTCGTTTTCTTCCTCTTCTTTTCTTTAATTTACTTCAAATCACTTAAACTTGATGTTTTTCTTGTACACAATTCAATAAAAATTGTTTCAATAATTTTTCCTGTTTTTTTAATGTGATTTCGATTAAAATTATGCAAAATTAAAGTATCCAAATAGAGAGCGAAGAACATGTGCACACAAACAAAATCTATTCAAAACGTGCCGTGAACTAATGTTATTTTTGTCATTTAGGTACATCTAATTCTGACGTATCTGACGAATCAGATGATGCAGATGAATCGATTGAATCTCATGAATTGTACAAAAGAAATGTAGTTACAGCATCTATTGATAATGAAATTCAGATTGAATGGCTCGATGATGAGGGTAGAGATGCTGAATATGGCGATTTTTTCGAAGGCGATTTGATATTAACAGATGATCAAAAAGCTGCGATAATGGGAGAGAGAAATGCTGTAATCAACGAAGATTTCCGATGGCCAAGTGCTATAATTCCATACGAATTATCTAACAATTATTCGGCCGAACATAAGGCAGTCATTTTCAATGCCATGAAACAAATTGCAAATGTTTCTTGTGTCAAATTCCGGCAACGAACAAATGAAACCGATTACGTACAATTTGAAGTATGTTCTTTCCAATTTATTTTTTTTTTTCAATTCATTTTTAAATAAAAACCTCTGATTTTAAAGGCAAGCAAAAATGGGTGCAGCTCAAATGTTGGTCGAATTGGCGGAAAACAGGTCATCAATTTGCAAATATCGGAACCAGGAATCGGTTGCTTTAAAGAGGGATCGATAATTCATCAAATCTTGCATGGTAAACAACATTGATCTATACAGTTTTTTTGAAACTAACTTTTTGATTTTTTTAGCACTTGGATTTTACCATATGCAGAGCACGTTCGATCGTGATAACTATATCAGAATAAATGTGGATAACATAAAAAAAAACAGAACACAAAACTTTAAAAAGTATGCTTCCTCGCATGTCACCAATTTCAATACATCTTACGATTTTGGAAGCATAATGCATTACCACTGTAAAGCATTTGCTATAAATCGCAACATCCCAACAATAGTCCCACTTGTAAGTGATAAATTTTCAATAGTTTTTAAACGAAAGAGTTTCTTAGCAATTGTATGACACTTTATTGGGTGTATCGATTAATTTTTACCGTTTTTTGGGTGAAAATCTATATTTATTTGAATAACAAAATGAATGAGTACATTAACCAATGTATTGCCCATCGTTAGCTATGTCTTCCGCCCATCTTCTTGGTAACTTGTCGATTCCACGTCGAAAGAATTCCTCATCTTTTGACGCTATGCATTCATCGATCCATTTTCGCACTCCTTCAGGATTTCGAAACGATATCTCGGACAAGCCCATTTGCATCGATCGAAACAAGTGGTAGTCAGAAGGAGCAAGGTCTGGAGAGTACGCGGGTTGATCAAGCCGATCCCAACCGAAGTCTTGTACTTTTTATTTAACGATGTCTGCTCGATGTGGCCTGGCATTATCATCGTGAAACATAACTTTGTCTTGTATAGACGCTATCCGTGGCCGTTTAATCTTCAATGCATGCTCCATTTTGATTAATTGCATGCGGTAGCGTTGGGCTGTAACCGTTTCACCTGGTTTTAGCAGCTCATAATACACGACACCTTTTTGATCCCACCAAATGCACAGCATAACCTTCTTGCAATGAATGTCTCGTTTTGACTGCGATGTTCCTGGTTGGCCTAGATCAACATACGCTCCTTTACGTTTGGGGTTGTCGTAATAGACCCACTTTTCATGGCCCGTGACAATTCGACTCAAAAACTATGTTTTTTGTGTTCTTTGAGATGTTCTCTGCATGCTGTGATTCGTGCTTTGAGTTGATTTTCGTTCAGTTGATGTGGGACCCATTTTCCTAGCTTTCGAATCTTTCCCATTGCGTGTAAACGTTCACAAATGGTTGATTTAGAGACATTTAATTCCAATGCTACTTGTTTTTGCGTTTGACATGGATTTTCATCGAGTAATGCTTCCAAATCCGTATCTTCGAACTTTTTTGGCTGACCTGGCCGTTCTTTGTCTTCCAAATCAAAATCACCACTTTTGAATCGTTGAAACCATTTTCTGCAGCTTGAATCTACTGGAGCTTGTTTACCATAAGTATCCGAAAGCATTTGTTGCGCTTCAGCCGCAGTTTTCTTCGTATCAAATTAGAAAAGGAGAGCACTTCGGAAAAACATTTTATCGCGATCCATTTTGAATTGATAAAAAAATAATGACACTGTGTCGAAAATAAATCTTTCTGCTCTGAATTCATGGGGTCAATCACGAAATTCTAGTGCATCTAGTTTTTGATAAGATTTCACTAGAAAACTAGAAAATTCTAGTGCGTGAAGTTGGCTCCCAGTAGTTTTTCATATAAATTATATGGCCTTTGGTGTGAAGTTGGCTTCGTTTGTGACGTCATTCTTCGCACTAGATTTACTAGTTTTTCTAGTATTCACTAGCGTGATTCGCCCCATGTCTGAATTAGATTGGCAAATGTCACATGTACAAAATGCAATTGGATTCACCTGTCAAACTTCATACAAGTTTAAGTGGCGAGTAAAAATTAATCGATACACCCAATAGTAAGAAAGTAGTTCCAACTATTTACCAATAGATGGCGACACATAAAATAGCAACTTCGAAACAACTTCCTTCAACTCCTAGTGGAGCATAGGGCCTTGAGATTGATCAATTAATTCAGATAAATCGGTGATCAGCCGATTGTATCCTACATTTCTTATGATTTTGCCATATTCTATATGGCGTTGGATTTCTATTTTACGTGTCTGTGCTGAAATCCATACCTTTGTTGTACACAGACACGGTTGACACAGTATTTTGCGACTACATACGATGTTCTAAACGGTCACCCATTTATCGCCTGACCAAAGCTTGTGCAGCTTAACTCAGTTGATCGAATAGTGCCGCAGTAGTCGTAGTAGCCACTGTGCCCACGCATTTCCTATACTTATGGTAAAAAATGTAATAAAAAATCGCGTGCTGAGAAAAAATAAAAATAAATAACAATATTTATTTTTTCTCAGCACGCGATTTTTTATTACATTTTTTACGATAAGTACAGTAGATTGCCAAATGTCGACACACGACCAAATGTCGGAATACCGAGAGGTGAATTGAAATTAAAAATCGAAAATTCGTTTTAATTGCATTTTTAAAAACAAATTATGAATGATCAATATCAAATCTATATATAATAATCCAAAAATCCAATATTCATCAAAAATCTATTATTGCTTTCAAAAATTACGTTCAAAAAAAATTCTATATTTTTATCACTTTTTCACGTCAAAAGTTAAACTATATCATTTTTAGACGGAGCCGGTAAAATGCATTTTTTGGTATGAAAAAATTATTACTTTGAAAAATCTTTATATCTGCGAATTGTAGGTAGTTTAATTTAGTTATTGAACAGAAATATTGAAAATATAAAGAAAAACAATTATATTTATGTTCCATTTTTCACTGTAATATTATTCCGGAATAAATAGTCCAATTGCCGACACATAAAGCCGCATAAAGCGCCGAACATTTCAAGTGAAACACTTTTGATTTGACAGATGTGACAGTTAAAGCCGTATTTGGATCATTGTGAAATTCAAACCAAATCAGTGGAAAAACACAATAATTTAAAATATTTTTGCCATTTTCCTATGGGAAAATAAATAAAATTAAATATGGAGCAAAAATATATCAATCTAATAATTTTAACTCCAATATTTTGTATTGTTTACCTCAATGTAAAGAGTGCGTTCCTGAGCTGTCAAAACTTAAAGTTGTTCAAGTTTCGCAGTGAAAATTCATTAAATATGTCGAGATTTGGGAGCCGAGAATTGGACGACGAATATCCGACATTTGGAATTTTCGATGTTACGACGGAAAAATGGAAAATAATAATATATTTTTGGAAATTTCTTTCTTTTGACAAGTGTGAAATGAAACACAATGAAATTCTGCATAGAATTGTGTTTAGAATGATATTTTTAGATGAAATCAAAAGTCTTAATTATTAAATTGAAGTTGAAAATTCAAACAAATAGTCCGACATTTGGGCGAGTGTCCATATAGTATCTGTTTCGAAGTTGCTATTTTATGTGTCGCCATCTATTGATAAATAGTCAAATTACAAATTTACTATTATCTAAGATCCCCTTTAAAAAACTTTTCGAAAACAGGATGGAAACGAAGATTCGATGTTCAAAATGGGACAACGAGAAGGCTTGAGCAAAAAAGATATTTTGAAGCTGAACGCCATGTACCGATGCAAGTCATCTATAAACAATTCTGTGACGACGCTACATAGTGATATTCACATGATTTTTATTGCTGTTCTCACAACTTTCATGTTGAAACATGTTGATTTTGATTGGGAAATATTGACATTCAACTGAACGAACAAGAAAAAAAAAGTTGATGCCTTTAATAAAAAGAAAAAAAATGAGCAAATAATTTTTACCATGATAAATTACCAATTGAGATAAAATTGATGAATTAAAGAAACTTATTAAATTTTTGTCTTCGACAATGATGCCATCAGAGGGAAAAATTTATATCTGTAAAAAAATAATTTAAATAAAAACTAAAATGTATAAATTTGTTTTTATCATTTTCTTTTATTCAATTGCATTTTCCACAATACTGCCTGGCACTTTTTAATCGGAATTTATTCATTAGAGCGTCATCATACGTCCTCAGCAGGGGTCCGAGGGGTCCGATAGAATTTAATTTGTTTTTCACAAATAATCGTTTGTTGAATAAATTCTCAGTCACTTTAAATAAACGAATGAACACTAGGGTGGGTCATTTGATCCATTTTCATGAAGTGTACCATGGACATGTTTCTTACTATAGGAGACCTCAATACAAACAAATTTTGTTCTACGACTTTACCCCAGATGAACCTCCGTTCGGTCCGGTACATTTTCATATTCCATAGTATGACCTTCTGATGACCCTCTGAATCATTAGTTTTTAGGGTCCAGACGCCATCGGATCGCATTTTTATACCGTTAAATCGATTCCTCGTCAAAGATTACGTCGAAATAGTCCTTGTTAAGAATTTTACTTTTCCGCACACACCTAGTGTGAAAGGGGAAAGTATTGCAATAGGTCAAAATTTACGAAACCTCAAAAACATGTTTTCTGGACGTTTCTGAGGTCAGAGAACCCGAATCAGGCCGTTTGGAGCATGGTTGTCGTGGGTCGCTTCCACGTCGTACGTCGTACGTCGTACGTTGTCCGCCGTACGCAAAATTTGTCCATCGATTATCTCACCCCCCAGAAAACTTATTTAAAATCTGACTTCACGGGATGATTAGGGGTCTCGAGCAATAGAAATCATTAGATTTTGAGCGATTTTGGTTGATGGAAAAAAATGTCATGTCTGATGTGATACCTATGAAAAAGAGTCCAATTTTCGTCCAAAAGTCATACTTAATGTAGACTTAAACACTCAAAAATATGTATTGGGGGGTTTTTTGGCACGAGAAAACCGAATCCGAGGTTGGTTTTGAGATTCAATCAATTTTTGATACAGTTTCCTTGAAAAAATCACAAAAAAGTGCATTTTTGTATGGGAGTCATGCCTGTATGCTACCTTAATGACGTGAAACTTTGCACAGACTATTTTTTACACAAAAAAATAACATTCTGATAGTTTGAAGAGATTTCAATTAAAATTAGGGGTACCTCCCATACAAAATTTTCAATATTTTGTATGGGAGGTACTCTTAATGTTGGTTGAAATTTCTCCAAACCCTCCGAATGTTATTTTTTTGTGAAAAAAATAACCTGCACAAAGTTTCATGCCATTAAGGTAGCATACAGACATGGCTCCCATACAAAAATCCAAATTTTTTGTGACTTTAGTTATGAAAAGTGTTTCAAAAATAATTTTTATGGCAAAATTAACGTCAGACATATTTTTTATAGTGTTTTGTTAGAAAATAGAATACTTTCAAATGTCGTACAAATGGGTTCATCATGAAAGTGTGAGAAATCTTTTCTTGGCTACTTCTGCTATTAAATTAAAGAATATTTCATTGCCAATGTTGAAACATATTTTTTGGTCTCGAACTTTACGCCACTTGAAAGGCTTGAAAAATCGAACAATTATTATTTTGAACTTGCTTAATAAAATACGCAACTACCACCGTGCGGAAAAGTTCGTCTTACTCCCGTAAGACTCTTTATTTTTTTTCAGGTTAAATACCATCCAGTTCGAAGAATCCGGAAAATTCGGCCTTTTTTCGCTTTTTTTCCAAAACTAAAACCCATTCCAAAACTAAAAGTAGGTCGATCAAGCGTGACGATAGCTATACCCCAGGACCATACAAACACTTTGGCATTTATAGATTTTCCAAAGTTTTCCATATGAGTTAACCTTGTTCATACAAATGTGCTATTTATTGCAATTTTCAGCGAAGGGTCCGGATTGGTTCGGAAACTGTACCATATTTCATGGATAGACCATCCGATCAACAATGCAAATACCACATTTTCCACCCAATTTTCAACGAGGAATCGAATGGAACTGGTTTCGCAGTGATTCGACAACATATAAGGGTCGAAAAATGGCCAGGCACTCAAGGTACTTTTTAACTCTCAAGCATTTTTTCGATGACATTAGCCGACTACAAAATAATTTTAAATCGTTTTCTGGGATCAAAGTCGTAGAACAAAAGTTGTTTGTATTGAGGTCCTCTATAATAAAAAAACATGTCCATGGTACACTTCATGAAAAAGGATCAAATGACCCACCCTAATGAACACATCAACTATTGCACCATTTTCAAATGTGATGCATATTTTTATGTACTACAATTTGGATGCAGCAGCACATTAACCGCAATGTACGGCTGTAAACAGTATGTTATCGTTTCGATTTTTTCATCAAGTAATGCGTTATTTCTTTCGAGAATTTCACCATCCAATTTGACGCCAATCAATTTATTGATTGAAAGTGTTTACTTTAGGCAGAGCAGCACACTTTTGATTATTCACAAGGCTTTTGAATTGATTCGTTTTTTCATGTAATTTCTTCATCTATTCCGAATCATCTTGTTTGGCAACATAAATATTTGCCACCACAAATTGATTGGCAACGATTTTTCGAGTAATTTCGACAAAATGTTTAGAATCTCTCGATACTGTGGTGTGATAGATTCGCTTTTGAATTGAGCCTTCAACACCGATGAAAATACTCGTGCCAACCAATGCAGCAATTTTAACAGTGACCCTGGAAGTGTGGTCTCCGTTTTTTTTGTACTGAAGATAAAACAATCACAAATTATTAAAATGTCACAATTCAACGAAATAAAACTTTATCGCCTACCGACACGTTACACCGTTCATGCTTGAATCAACAAAATCCAGAAGTGCAATTATACAATATGGTCGATCGAAATCATCAAACTTTGCGATTCGTTTGATAAGACCAGAATGTGAATTTTGTCACGAGCACAGCGAATGACGAAGAGAAGATAATACCAATTTGTTGGCATCCGAACCAATGATGGCTTGTTGCAAGATATTGTCGCCCAAAACATTGTCATCACCTGATACAGCTTTTGGCAGAACCTGTGTCATAAACTATTCGTTATTATTTTGTTTTCAAGAAAAAAATTAATTTTATGCATGTGTTTCTGCCTACCAATTTGATGCATGTACCTGTACCCCACTGTGCATCATCCCATCGCTCTCGCCACGCCAGTAATATCATTGCATTGATTAAACTAGTTTTATTTGCATTGTCCATAGCCATTGTAGTGGTTGAATTGTTTAGACCAGGCAGACCAGGCAGACAATTGAATCATTTCCAAATAGGCTACACTATTTTACCTTTGAATTGTACGGTATTTGAATTTGTATGTGAGATTAATTAATTATTCACGGAGATTTAAAGTCAACTTATGTTTCAAACAGTATGAAATATTATGATTCAGCACATGATACTATAGTACATGATACTTACATCATTCAACGATTTCTATACCAAAAAAATGCCAAACAGTGATGAAAATATAATTGATTTAGAAGTAAATTTATCAACGATCAAACTGAAGAGAATAGAAAATTATTTAAAGCAAAACAGATAAATACAAACATTTGTTATGGATTATAGAAATTTTAAGCAGTTGAAAAATTATTATATGAAATTTATATTATTTACATGATAGAAGCTATAATTTTTGCTTGATAAAAATCAAATTGTATTATATTATATTTATTTAATTAAATTATTTTCAATAAACCATCAAGGCGAAGGAACGCTGTTCGGTGCAGATATTATTATTACTGATTGATCAATTGAAAAACAAATGACAATTTTAATATGACCATTATGATGTGACAGATCAACACTCACTGAAAAGGACCAACTACATAGCAAGGAAAGAGGAGGCGGAGTATTAATTGCAGTCAACAACAAACTAAAGTCAGTTTGCATCGGAGCGGGAGACCAATTCGGAGCTGAACAAATTTGGGTCAAAGTTACGGGTATAAAAAGTAAAGGGCTTAATTCAAAATTTTCAACGACTGAATTCTATAATAATATCTAAATTAACTGAATTTTTCAGCAAACGAATGAATTACGGTGAATGCTACGGCGATTTCACTCAAATATGTGAGATAGTGGTGAATAGTTTCTGCTGACAATTACTGCAATATTTATATTTTGTGTAACGAAATTGTAAATGTTTTTTATATTTTTTTAACCCTCCTAGGTAAAGAGGCGATAAAAAAATTGAATAAAAATCGAAGTAAATTAAAAAAATTCAAAATTTCTTGGGCAGATTATTCGAACAGAAGATTATAATTCATGGACCGCCCATACAAAATGCATGAAAACCTCATATAAACAGTAAAAAATAAAACAATTCAAAACTGTCAACAGTGCACATTCTGAATTTTGCGTTATAAAACGGTGCATATAGAGTAGATTCAGCAAAGAATAAAAAAGAAAGAATTTGTGTATATGTGTATTTAAGCTAAGAAACACAAACATGATTCGTTCGCTGTCGATCAAAAGTGTGGTTTCTGAAGATGAAATCAACACATTTTATAATAGCACAAAAGGTGGCGTTGATCATTCAGATCAACTGTGTCATAGCTATTCATGTCAACGAGGCAAAAATCATGAACTTGATCAATGTATGTGGACTCCACATTGTGGAGTCGCTGCGTTTATTGTTTATAATGCAACACATGGAATTACACGAGATCGATATTCATTTCAACGCAAGAAATTTTTGATCGAATTATCGGAAGCATTGGTGTATGATCAAATAGCACGCAGATCTACTTATGGATTTAATGAAGCGCATCGAGCTGTACTCAGCACAGTTCAACAGCACCATCCACTTCAACAACGCAAACCAAACAAGATAAAAAAGTGCATGTCATTTATGTCCCACTAAAATCAATCGAAAGACGCGAACATAGTGCAGCAAATGTATGAAAAATGTTTGTGGAGAACATTCCGAAAAAATTGCGATGTGTACGAACTGCACCAAAAAGCGACCGTATGAAACTGCATCATCAGATCATCCAATTAATTTTGTCATAAATTATTTATTTTCATCCTTTTTTCCATTTAAAAAAAATTATAATGAAAATTTCAACAAAAAAAGAAATATAATTTTGTTCATTTCATAGACTTTCCATATATTTTGTATGGGCCGACTCTATCCGTTCAAGTTTTTTTTTCACTCTATACCTAGGAGGGTTAATAAAAATTAATTTTATTTTCAATTTTGAGCAATTTTCTATCGAAAACAGTCGGAAATATTGAAAAAATAATAAATTAAAAAATATTACGGTTATCATAACCTCACTTTATTATTTTGACACATTTCATTCTATTCACACGAATTCACCGAACTCATCAATAACCACTCGATTCAAAAGAGTGAATTTACGTGAATTCCTGTGAATTCCTTGCTGTATTAAGCCCCTAGATAAAAAGAAACATCTATTTAGTTGAATTATATATTAGACCAGATTCAACACTCAAGGTGTATGAAAACAACATGTATGCCTTGAAAGAAGTCGCATCGAAGTTGAATACAAATGATGACCATCTCAATACATATTTGAAGAACATCGTCCACGAAAGTCAACATGGATTCATCAAGAACAGGTCAACGATAACAAATTTAGTAGAATTTAGGAAGGAGACATCAAACAGACGCCATCTATTTGGACATAGCCAAGGCTTTTGACTCGGTTTTACTTAAATTTACTTATTCAAAAACTAGACTTCATGGGATTGAATGAGCAGCTGTTAAAATGGATCAAATCTTACTTGTCTGGTCGCAGACAAATTGTAAAGATAGCAGATACCAAATCAGACCCAATTGAAGTTATCTCTGGGACGGGTCAAGGATATCCCATTGGTGCCACTTTGTTCATCATGTTTATTATTGATCTACCTTTTGTCGTGACTAATTCATGCCTACTTTCATTCGCTGATGATACAAAGATTTCAAAATGTATCACCTCAACAGATGATTGCATTAATCTTCAAAATGACTTGGATCGTGTAGCGGATTATTATAGACGCAATTTATTAAAATTAAATGTCAACAAAACTAAGATCATATCATATCATCGGGGATCTCTGCAATATGAATACAAATACAACATAGGCGGCGTTCAAATTGAAAGAGTCTTTGTAATAAAGGACTTGGGAGTGTTGCGAATGAATTTCAAATCACACATTGAGCATGTCACTGCTAAAGCCAAATCAAGACTGGCTTGGTTAAAGTTCTACAGCAGGGATTTTTTCGACCCATGGACAATTAAACGCCTTCATTTGTATTGCCAATTATTGAATACGGTTCCGAAATGTGGAATCCACACTACGACAATATGTGCAAAAGAATAGAGTCAATACAAAAGCAATTTTTATTTTATTCGCTAAGGAAAATAAACTGGGACAGCTATAGACTTCCGAAATATGAGCATAGACTGCTGTTCTTACAAATGATTACGCTTGAGGAGAGACGCAAGGTGGCACAAGTGTCTTTCATCTTCAAAATTATCCATGGAGATATGAAGTCAACTCATATATCAAATAGTTTGAAATATTACGATTCGGCGCATAATACCAGAGCCACACCGCTATTTGATATACCAATTAGAAAGAGTGATTACACAAAGTTTGAACCAATTAATTAAATGTTAGCAACATTCAATGATTATTATACAAAAAAGATTCCAAACAGTGATACTAATTTAATTGATTTAGAAGTAAATTTTGCTACAGTAAAACTGAGAATTGAAAAATATTTGAAACAAAATCGATAAATGAAATAATATGTAATATAAATAATTATTGTTTATCTCTTCCAAAGCTGCTTGATGTAGGAATTAAATTATATTGTATTTATTTAAAATTATTTTGAATAAACCACCAAGGCGAAGGAACGCTGTTCGGTGCAGTTATTATTATTATTATTGAATAAAATGTACGATATAATTTACGGATCGTTTCAATTTTGTTCGAATTGTTTGATTGCCGGCAGTACGAATGTATCTTAAACAATATTTAATATTATAACAAACAATTTGACAACACCATTTCTTGTATCGCCTGTCAAAATGTAAACATAACCTCATTCAAATTATTCACGTGCGTATATGTTAATGTGTTCAGGTTGAAGTTGCAAGAAACAAAATATTCTAAAGAGTACTTAGGAAACTTTGTAATATTGAAAATGGTGAAAAAGAAAATAGATAATCGTATTCGAGTGATGATTGAAAATGGTGTAAGGCTTGGCCATCGTACAATGTTTATAATTGTAGGGGACAAAGCTCGAGATCAAGTGAGTAATGGCCATATATCAATTTATTAATTTACTAATAATATAGCATATTACAAATTACTTGAACACATCTCGCATCAGGTTCCCATTCTTTATGATATGCTAACTAAATCATCAGTACGAGCCAGACCATCGGTTTTATGGTGTTATAAAACCAAAGATGAAACCATTTCAAAGTGAGTTAAAAATTCCCACACAGACGCTCTTAAATATTTTTTGGTATTTCATTGGTCTTATATTATTTGTTTTTAGCCATGGAAAGAAGCGTGCAAAGAAAATACAGGCCGGTAAGATAGAACTATATTATATGTAATGATTCAGTAGATTAGATACCTATATTTTTATGAAAATCTCCTATGTAAAACTATTAGTTTTTTCAAAAACATATATATTTTGTTTTTTTGGTCTCTTTAGGTAAAATAGATGTGAATGAAGCTGATTTATTTGATACATTTCGTGTTTCGACCACAATTCACGGTCGTTATTATTCAGAAACGCACACAATATTGGGTCGTACATATGGCGTTTGTGTTTTGCAAGATTTTGAAGCATTGACACCAAATTTATTGGCCCGTACGGTCGAAACAGTTGAAGGTGGTGGTTTGATAATTCTTTTACTAAAATCAATACAATCATTGAAACAGCTATATACGATGGCGATGGATGTTCATAAAAGATATCGTACCGATGCGCACCAAAATATTACAGCTCGTTTTAATGAACGTTTAATTCTCTCGTTGGCTGATTGTGATCGATGCTTACTAGTTAATGACGACTTGACCGTTTTGCCATTGAGTTCAAAGACTGCAAATGTACAACCGATAGATATTGGTAATTTATGTGGTTCAAATGAAAAAGAACTTTTAGCAGCAGAGTTAAAAGATAATTTGCGTGATACCCCACCAGCTGGGCCTCTTGTGAGTCTATGCAAAACATATGATCAAGCCAAGGCAGTAGCCCAATTTATCGATGCATTGGTAAGCTCATTTGTCTATATTATATTTCGAATTCCATGTAAATAATAATAATAATAATAATAACTGCACCGAACAGCGTTCCTTCGCCTTGGTGGTTTATTTAATATATTTTAAATAAATACAAAATAATTATATTCTTACATCTAATAGTTTTGAAAATGAGATAAATAATGTTCTCATCAGTATGTTTTCTATTCAATTCTACCTATTTTGTTTAAAATATTTTTCAATTCTCAGTTTGACTGTTGATAAATTTACTTCTAAATCAATTAAATTTGTATCACTGTTTGGTATCTTTTTTGTATAATAATCATTGAATGTAATAAGCATATAATTAATTGTTTCATATTTTGTGTAATCGCTTCCCCTAACTGGAATATTAAAAAGCGGTATTGCACGGGTATTATGCGCTGAATTATAATAATTTAAACTGTTTGATATATGACTCGACTTCATTAATAATTTTGAATATGAAAGACACTTGCGCCATCTCGCGTCTCTCCTCAAGCGTAATCATTTGTAGAAACAGCAGTCTATGCTCATATTTCGGAAGTCTATAGCTGTCCCAGTTCATTCTCCTTAGCGCAAAAAGTAAAAATTGTTTTTGTATTGACTCTATTCTTTTGCACATATTGTCGTAGTGTGGATTCCATACTTCGGATCCATATTCTATAATTGGTAATACAAATGTAAAATAAAGGCGTTTAATAGTCCATGGGTCGATAAAATCCATTTGCACATCAAGCAACACTCCCACGTCCCTTATTACAAAGACTCTTTCAATTTGAACGCCGCCTATGTTACTTTTCCGCACACATAGTGTAAGCTGAAAAGTATTGTAATCGGTCAAAATTTTGGAAACTTCAGAAACATGTTTTCTACCTATTATTGGGGTCAGAGAACACGAATTTGGCGTTTTCAAACATGGTTTTTGTTATTCTGTACGTTGTACGTCGTACATTGTACGTTGTACGTCGTACATTGTACGTTGTACGTCGTACGCAAAATTTGTTAGCCAGATTGCGCTCATCGTAGAAACTGAATTCAAAATCTGACTTTACAGGATGATTGGGGGTCGCGAGGAATAGAAATCTAAGAAAGCTAATGCTTTTGAGCGACTTTGGTTGATGGAAAAAAAATTCATGCCTGTTGTGATACCCACGAAAAAGAGTCCAATTTTCGTCCAAAAATCATACTTAATGTAGACTTAAACACTCAAAAATATGTATTGAGGGTTTTTTTGGAACGAGAAAACCGAATCCAAGGTTAGTTTTGAGATACAATCAATTTTTGTCACAGTTTCCTTGAAAAAATCACAAAAAATTGAATTTTTGTATGGGAGCCATGCTTGCTACCTTAATGACGTAAAAATTTGCACAGACTATTTTTTACACAAAAAAATAACATTCTGAAAGTTTGAAGAGATTTCAATCAAAATTTGGCTCAAAAACGAATATTTTGTATGGGAGGTACTGTTAATTTTGGTTGAAATTTCTCAAAACCCTCCGAATGTTATTTTTTTTTGTGTAAAAAATAGTCTGTGCAAATTTTCAATCTGCTACACTATCCAAGTCATTCTGTAGATTAATGCAATCATCTGTTGAGGAGATACATTTCGAAAGTATTGTATCATCAGCGAATGAAAGTATACAAGAATTGGTAACGACGTAAGGTAGATCAATAACAAACATGATGAACAAAGTAGCGCCAATGGGATATCTTTGACCCGTCCCAGAAGTAACTTCGATTGGGGAAGATTTGGTATCTGCTATCTTCACAATTTGTCTGCGACCAGACAAGTAAGATACGATCCATTTTAACAGCTGCGTATTCAATCTTATTATGTCTAGTTTTTGAATAAGTAATTTTAAGTTAACCGAGTCAAATGCCTTGGCAATGTCCAAATAGATGGCGTATATGTTTGATATCCGCTCCCCATGTTAATAATTATAATAATATAATATATATATATATATTACAAATACAAAGAACAAAGAACCTCAATTGATGTTGATTTGTATTCATCTTTTTTTATCTGTTGCAGGCAGAGAGACAAGTCAAGTAAGTGATAAAAAATATGTTGTAACCAACCAATCTATTAAAAAGTTGCATGCATAAGAAAAGAAAAATAAATAAGTCATTAACATTTCGAAATCGTAGGCCACCTACATCTTTAACAGCCGGTCGAGGACGCGGGAAATCGGTATTAAGAAGAAATATTGAATTGAATTAAAACCTTCAGTATTTATCTATTAATTCAATTTTTTGTCTCTTTAGGCTGCAATGGGACTTTCGATCAGTGCCGCAGTAGCATTTGGCTATGTTAACATTTACGTTACATCTCCACATCCTGAGAATTTAATCACCCTTTTTGAATTTGTTCTAAAAGGATTCGATGCACTGGAATATCAAGAGTATGTAGCAGGGTATACTTACTTTAAAAAGTACTATTCCGTTATTGAAGAATGCTATCCATTCTTTCGATTATTTTTCCATTATACCCATTACATCCATTTCAAAAAATCACAATATCAATATCCATTTAGTATGTAAGAAAGTAGTAAGGGTTTGATCATACACATATACACACATAAATTAAAAACAATTTGCAAATGAATTGAACGAAGCTGCGTTAGAAAACACTTTGCTGACAAAAATTGAGATTTGGTAGTAGCAGTGGAGAGAACAACACACAAGGAATCAATATTGTACACACAGTAGCATCGGAACAACGTCACAACAACGACAACATCGCGACGCAAACGGATAAACGAAAACTGTATCAACACCAACAAGAAATCACATTCGGGTAAGTTCATTTGAATATTCCACTCTGTTGTCATAATTGTCATATTTTGCATAGTAGCTAACGCATTCGCTGTTCGATATCGGCCACTGTCAACGACAAACCGATTTGAATGTGTTGGTGTGAGAGTGTATTTGACTGTGACATTTCAAACCAACAAGCCGGCAACAATTCACATCGTGACGAACCATTGCCAGTGTAAGAACTAAAATTGCTGCGCTTACATTTTCAGTTTGCATTGAAAGTGGAATATTCTAGTATTATAAATAAATAAATAGTGAATATAAATATAATATTCTTCGAATTGGTTTTTTTCAAAAAAGTGTTCGGTAAATATTATTTTAACCCTCCGTTGTACACATATCCGGCGAGTCACATTCGTAACACATGAGTCTGGCCAGACCCACATACATTTTATATGAAAAATGATGTAATTTGCATTCTCTCATGAGTAAACATCCGCGGATTGTACTCTCACGTATAAATGTAGTTTACCTAGAAACAACAATACCATGACCTATAATATAATATGAGATGAATTGAGACGACATGACCTGGAAGTGAGTCTTGTGAAGTATGTGGATCCGACCTGGTCCAAAGTGTTCTGGAAGTTGAGAACTCAGAGTCATACATCCTCTACGCTTCATCTCATATAATATTTTGATGTAAATGGCAGTCCTGATCAACAGAAACCTGAAATGGCCTGGAAGTGAATCCTGTGGAGCAGGTGGATCCGACCTGGTCCAAAGTGTTCTGGAAGTCGAGTGCTCGTTAATAATTTCGTTATTTTTTCGATTTTCCCATCGGAAATGCGAGAAAAATCGATTGGCAGTTTTTGATATAATATTCGAATATATTTATGTCATATTTCACCCAAATAATGGGGTCCTTGGAGCTACCAAGGATCATATCTAGCACCATATCA